CCTGCCAGTAATTACACCCACACTTCATGCTTGCCTGCTAATGCCCATGAGGTGTGCACCATGCTACAACCTTGGCCTTCAGACTTAACCTCTGACCTGAAACTTGACCATACTCAAAGCATGTAATTTCAAATTATAGAATACTTACAAATTATCCAAGGTAATGGAGGAGAAAAGACACATGAATAAAAAAACATGGATAATCCAAGATACTGGCGAATGCAGTAATTATTGAATTAAATTATAATTTTATTAAATTATTGAAATTTAGTATGACAGTTTTGGGTCTTATTTAAACGCTTGCAATTATTGTGAAAAAAATTGTGACTGAAACATTTTTGTGACAATGATAATAATGAATCATTGTAACTTGACATAAAATTTGTATGATGTTTTACGTTTGAAAGTAGTTACACGTATTATGTTGTATTTATTGTGCTTCTTTACGTGCTCTGAATAAGGTCATGAAGTAAAATTCCATGTGTTGAAACATTAGCTGAAGAACATACATTTTAATGTCTTATCACACCATGGGTTTCAGTTTCAGAAGGGAACAATAAATGTATTTGAGTATCATTTTAAAAATTCTGAGGAGTTTTGTGACATTGGGTGATTCTATGCACTAATTATGTCGGAGAGTGTCTGCTGTATAAGGTGTGGTTAATGTGACATTTCAGTGATTTGTATTTGTCTCCAAGTGAATGGTTGTCATTGACTAACAGGGATATTTGTTTTTACTTTCAATATTAATGGCATGGTTCAAAATAGACCTGAAATCCCAGGATGCCCAAGGATGGATGGTTTTATTCATTTATGGCTTATTTAATTATGTCTAGCTCACACTCTAGCAACAAATGATAGGTTGATTAGTGAGTAATGGATTGGAAAGGGTTTGAAAGTGCTCATGGTGCAGTTTGTGTGCTGTAAACCAGTCAGGATAGTTTCTGAGAAGAGACTTTAACCAGGGACTCCTTAAATATGAAGCAGGAGTGCTACATATATGACTGGCAGACTAACAGTGTGAATTCCTGGGCCATCCTTCTGGTTTAGAGGGTAGCATATAAGATTAGTGTTCTGGGTTTGATCCCAATTGCTGACATAAAAATAAAAAAAAAACTGTGTGCCAGTATAATACCAGTCACTGAAGACAGGAGTAGATCCAGCTGTCAAAACACTCTGTGTATTAAATATACCTAAGCCAGTGCTCAATATCTGTCATCATTACAGCATAATTTTTATCATTGATATATTAGGGTACATGAAGTTAAATGTTGCTCTCATTCATAAATATGCCATGATTCGTTGTGTTAATTAGGATGAAATACCAAATAAATATGTCTTCCTTTTCATTTACTAATTTTTTGAAACCCTGAAGGAGAGCCTTTTTAATGTTCTTTAGTTTCAGATTGCTATTTTCTACTGTTCACATATGAGATAAGAAAATAGTTTAAATTTAAAACATTGCTCACTTCCACATTTTTGCAAGGTCACTGGAGACAATGAAGATACTAAGATGGAACTAAGAAATGATTAGGACTGATCTGTTGTAGGCTGTCTGGGTCATTTCTGAGAGAAAATAAGGAAAATCTGTATGAATATTTAATTTGCATTCTCATAAATATGTCCAAACTGAAAAACATTTTTTCATGTCCATATTAACTAATTCTTTGTAGTAGAAGCTGAAGGATTGCCCAGTAATACCAAAGTATGCCACTTTGCACAGGCCCAAGTTAGTTCCATCCACTTCCTATCTTAATATTTTATTTTACTAAGGCCCAACTCAATATTATTCTACCATCTTAGTCTTTCAAGTAAATGTTTTAGAAGAGGCTCTCTCACTGAAATTCTGAACACATTTCTTCTCTTTCCTATCTGGTCCATTGTCACATTTATTTCACTATCCTGTCAATTCCAGCATATAAATATTTTTGGAAAAAATCTTCACTATTTCTTGATTGATCATTGCATACCTATGATAGTGCTGGGTATAGTTTTAATACTGATCAGTGGAATATTTTATGTTCTGTAATACTGAAGTAAAACATGTAAATACTGACCTAATTTTTCACTTATATGAAAATTTCAAGTGGATTCTAAAGGTATCTGCCAATGGTGGATGACACACAGAATTACTAGGTTTTTAGACTATTTCCACTGTCTGGAATTCTAGGTAACAGAGGACACGATGTTTCAGAAACTGGATCTGTTTCTGTCTTCAGGTGAGAAAGGAAGACACCTACTCAGTTGGGCCCCTGAGAAACGTCATGTCCTCTATTACATAGAATTCCGGACGATGGAAAAAATCCAAAAACCCAGTAATTCTGAATGAAAATTTCAGTTAGACATCTCATATGTGTACATTTTCTTTTGATATACTGGATTTTTTTTGTACTCAGAAGTATAAAAATACTTATGGTAAGTTTATTATTATTAAAAAGAACTTGTGATTGCCTGTCTCAACTCTGAAAACTATAGAACTTCAAAGATATGGAATGACAGTCTTAAACAACAGATAGGTTTGAATCTAATGTATGATACAGTTCATTCATGTAAGTATATTATTTTCTATTCATATTGTAATAAGGTTAAGAATTATTGTATTATAAGTAGGTAAGTTCCTTTTAATTAGTAAAATGCAGATTGAGCTAAACTATTAAAGCAAACAGGAAATGTGCCCCTAGTGGCTTTTACACATTAAATAATTAACATTCATTTAATTCAGTGGAGTCATGTACCTGTATTTGCTTCTTGGAACTGAATAAAAAAACATGCCAGTGCTTCTGTATTTGCACTTACTGGATATATTGTGGAGCTAGTTTGTGTACAGTAATAATATTCATATTAAAATTACTAATTTACATTAGCATGTCACTTTTTACATATTCTGGTTGCTTTACTCCCTAACATACCAAATGGAAACTTGCCATATTCATAGTTTTGTCATTAATAAAATCAGAAAACACAATACAACGTTATGCTTTCTTTGAGCACCAATTTTTATATTGATTTCATACACATAATGTAGGTATGTGTCAGACCTGCGTCAGTGTAATAGAATTTATGGTCTTGGAAAGTAATGTATGTTTTTAACTACATCACAAATAATTCTGACTCATTTTCTGCGTTAATACCGTGAAGCTTCTTTCTTCCAACTGTAGTTTAGATATGTATATGCAAAATATTAAATTTATGTGAAATGTCATTCATTGTGGTGATTATATGAAGCCATAGAAAGTGGAAAAAATATTGTTTATAAGATGAATGTTAAAAAAATGCTGTCCGTAGTGACAAACAATGAAAGTATTGGCTTATGTTGTAACATGTTAAAGATGTCTTGTACCTTGCCAGTGCCCACCTTATTAACATAATGTGTATACAATGAAATTATTAATTATAAATGCACAAGTAGATGTTAATTTTATTATTACTAATTTGTAGTGCCAGATATGAAATGATGAAGAAAGAATAGTATTAGTTGCCATTTTTCAGCTCTTTATATTTTACTGAAACTGTATATTAAGAGTTAAATAAATTAACATTTTTATTTTCTTAAAATAAGTTCATTTATATTGTGTATAACCAGCAAATAATAACAAGTTACTAAGATTCACTAAACTTCTATTTAATGTTTGGAGGACAAGTTTTTTGTACTACCTTAAATGGGGGTTTTGGAAAACAGAATCCTAAAATGATCTGATTCCATTAATTCAATGGATCATTAAACCTTGTTAATGTGACAAAAAAGAAATAAGTAACAAATTATGTAATATATACAAAAGAAACACAAAAATTCACGTATTACAACAGTAATTTCACAAACCAGCTTCAAATTCATCACAGTCAGATCAATTCCAGTAACATGTCATAAATTACAAAATATTGATCACAAAGTAGAATCAGAATTACATAAATCCCAAAATATAATCAGAATTACAAAATGTAAATCACACAGCAGGGTCTGCAGTCAAACATGGGAAGAGAATCTGCAGTCACATGTGGATGGTAGAAAAGTTATTTTTAAAATATGGAAGTTCTGTAAAAGTAAAAAGTAAAGTAAAGCTATCCCTGTAACAGGCCGTGAAGACCCATAGGGTTGTGAGACGTTAAGGATCCCACATTACCTTGACAATCGGCTCAAAGATGGCAGTAAGGTTGTCAGCCTTATGCGCCGGCCGCACTTCACTCCCCAGAAAAATTATTTAATTAATTCCTGGTACTCATTTCTGTTAGAGGGTGAGTAAACCCCAGGGCCTAGTATTAAGTCATATTAATGAAGAAGACTGATAAATTCCAGCTATGCAGTACACTGCCAAACAAGAAATGTTACTTTCGTGAGAATATTATGTAAAAATAATGCAAGCATACATACCCAGATGGTTTCTTCTTGAAGAAGAGCAGTTTAATTTGTTTAACATATCTGACAGATGAAAATTAGCTAGCATTAAGAGCATTCACTCTTACAATCACGCAATTTACAGTTTCACAATTGCTGTCATTGGCAGTATCACAAATACTGGACTGCAAATGCTAGACTACCACTGAAAGGTTGACTGCCTGGCTAACTCGCAACTTGAGAACTAACTGTGAATAGTCTTCGCTGCTCCTTATTTAGCCTCGTTCCGGACAACACAGAAAACAGCCACTTAATAGGCACCACTTTTGTCTGGCGCCGTGTTGCTACCAATGCTGTCGGGAGTTGTTTCCTGCTGTGTAGCAACGGCGGCATCCCGTGTTACGTCACCGCAGGGAGAGGCGGGGTGTTGAATGGCTTATTACCATAGCAACGGCAACGCTCCGAAAGTGTTACGTCACCGCTGGCAGGGTGAGGGGTTGTCCTCCATTGGGCAACACGTCACAATATTTTCTGAAGAATGTAAAACTGGTTTATGGAGACCACACAGGGGTGATGTCACTCTGAAAAGTTGTGATTTAGGAGGAGTAACTTTAAGACATGAGCTGTATGAAAAAAACTTCACTTAAAGGCACAATTCTAAAAAGGATAAGGTACAATTTCTCACATTTATTACCTTTAGCAGAACTATAATGAAAGTTACATATTAGTTAATACGTAGTTGGGTTTTATGTTTAATACAGTGTAATAAAATTAAATCAGCTTTCTTAAATGTAAGAAAAAGTCAGTCTTATTTGCAGTATTACCAGAAATACTGCCATCCTGGCTTGCTGCACCGAAGCAACCAGCAATACTGTGCATAAATTAGAAATGCTTTAGTCCACTGCACTTGCAGTAGCTCCAGAATGTAGCATCAAATTCAAGATATTCTCTCATCATTACATTGTAAACAAAACTTAAGAAGCAATGAAAACCTCTTGTCATGTGATAACATCTTGAAGAATGTTCTTACCAAACTGGCATAAACTCTGGAGCCCATTCCCGTCCTATTAGTTCTGAGACATGTTTGCAAGCCTTTGGTAAGTCATAGTGCGAGTCCTCAACAAGGCATTCCTCCATGACATAGAGTTCCTTAAGTCTTGGGCCACAGATGTGAGCAAACTTTACAAATGCACTACATGTCACTTCACATTCCCCTAATCCAACAGAAGAAAGTTCTGGACAGTTTCTTGCAATGTTCAGAAGTTCGTCATTGATGAAAGAATTTCCATTTGCCCCAACAACCAATTCCTTTAGCCTAGGACAATGACTACCTATTCGACCTAGCACTGTCTTTGGAACATAGTCACCAAAGTATAGATTTGTAACAGGAATATATGACATGAAAAGTGTGTTGAATGATTCATCAGGAATTACAAAAAAGTACATAACAAGGTTCATCCTTGGTGAATGTTCAACAAGGGCATTCCAACAGCATGGTGAGATCTGCTGTAACAGCATATCCTTTTCTGTGTACACATCAATACGTAAATACTCCAGGTGAACACGCTCCTCCGAGGACAGGGCAAGAAGCAAGTCATCGCTCAACAATGTATAGCTTAGGGACAACTCCCGCAGGTAACGACACTGATCTGCAAGGGCCAGGATACCTGTAAAGTAAGTAAGTAAGTAAGTAAAGGTATCCCTGTAACAGGCCGTGAAGGCCCATAGGGTTGTGAGATGTTGAGGTTCCCACATTTTCTAGACAGTCGGCTCATAGATGGCAGCAAGGTTGTCAGCCCTACACGCCAGTCACCCTCTACCCCCAAGAATATTCCTGGTACTCATTTCTGTTAGAGGCTGAGTCGACCCCAGGGCCATAGTGTGGCTAGAAGGGTTAGGTCAATTGAAAAAATCCAATGACCTCATTTGGACTTGAACCCAAGACCTTCCAGCTTGTAGCATAGTGCCTTAACCAACTATCCTACTTCGTGTTCTCTCACTAAGAAGTACTGATATATGAATTACTGTAGATAGTGTGTTTTCATTTCAGGCACCCTAACAGAATGGTTTACTCGTATATGCACAGTACCTTGGCAATGACTACCCTTCTCCCTGTACCCGCTTGAGGGTGGATTTGATTTATCTGGTCACTACAGAATATTATTTTCTTCAGTGAACACATTCCTTTTCAGTTGTTTAGTTTTGTAACAAATTGAACCCAACATCCACCCCTTTTGACAGACTTTAATATGCACAACTTCCTGGAAACTCATTCTTATGGTTATTTATGAATAAAATCCCAAATGTATGTTCTATAAATCCTATTTCTTATGAAGGTTTAACTGTGAAAATATGGGTGCTGCATTGTATATCTCATTGTACGAGTAACAAATTCAGACCTCAAGATGAAAAGATCTGAGCAAGCAGATTCTTCACAAGTTACTGTACCAATTACACTATGTTTGTTAACTGTGTAAATAAGTTGTCATGCTGGGAAGTTACATGCATAGCAACTGCAGTCAAAACATTTGCTCTATTCATGGTGTTACTATGTTTCCTTCTTTACCTTCATTACCTTATTGGTCATGTCAGCACACAAAATACACAAATATGGAGTGATGAAAATCCTCATGACATCTCAAACGTGCCATTAAAAAGTGTAACAGAAGGGGTGTGGTATGCTGTGCAGCAAACCATGGATCCAAAATTTTTTACAACATTGTGAATTCCAATCAGTGAATGAGAAATACAGTCAACTCTCGATTATCTGGGGGCGGATTAACCGGCTTGCGGCTTAACCGGGGCTACTGAGGTTTTTTTAAGGCTTATATGTTGTTTGGAGAGAGAGAGAGAAAACAAACAAACTCTCTGTTTCCAAAAACAGAAGATCACATTAAGTGGAGGAACTGTTTTGGAAGAGACTGTGGACCTGTCATCTGACAGTTACTGATCAATCAATCAATATGTTGTTTAATATTCATTCACTTTTGTTTCACATGGTGAGTTGTAACACTATTTTCGCACTAGTGTGAACCGAGCTCTGCAGTCTTTGGTCCCGTTATGCTAACACAATGTTCTAGGGTAGGAGTGAAAGTATGGAACGATTTGTGGAAAGTTTCAAGGACACATCCATCGCCCCAGTTAGTATCTTTGTATCGATCTTCAAGTGTGTTAGCAAAATGTCAGGGTGTAAAAGGAAGCGTGCTGTGTTAAGTATTCAACAGAAACTTGAAATTGTCAATTAGTTGGGAAAAGGAGGTGTAGTTAAACAATTAGCAATGCAATACAGTATTGGAGAACAATCTGTTTGAGATTTGAAAAAACAGAAGTGAGAATGATGAAGAGGTGGACATTGCTGCTCTTAATCATTTGGAATCCTTACTAGACTATCTTGAGAGTGAAGAGAACAGTTTATTAAGTGACAAGCTAATATTACGTAGGCTTCATATGGATATCTGTAAAGAGGAAAATGCCGCGAAAAAGCAAACGACAATATTAAATTTTTTAAGTGTTAAGTGTTGGATGTTGTTGAACACTGTGATTGAAATAACTAATTCATACTTCAGTGTATGAGTAATGTAAAAAAAAAAGTATTAAATAGGCCATGAGATGACTAAAAATGAGGTTGAATAAATTTAAATACAGGTTGGCCTATATTATTATGAAGGTACAGTATTACAGTACTACTTTTAATAAAATTTGTCTTAACCAGGTTTTCGATTAATTGTGATTTCCATCCCCACCATTATCCCGGATAATCGAGAGTTGAGTGTACAATGAATCCCTTCTTAAACCAACTGACAGCTGACAAACACAGTATGGGTATTTCTTGGAAGATAATGCTACAGCAACTGCTACTGACAAGTCCACGGCCATTATGTATGCGGTGCTTATAAGCAGGAAAATCAGCAAGTATTCTGGCCTCCCAGATCTCCTAACCTTAATGTGTTTTTTATTTCTGGGGAAACCTGAAAGGAAAAATGAATGAGAGTAACTCTCGCATCACTGAAGTTCTCCAGAAATAAACAATGTTCAACTGCTCCAGTTTCCAAGGAAGAACTTCAGAAAGTGTCACGAAACTTATTTACATGCTATAAGGCAGAATGAGCTCACTTCCAGCAGTCTTTTTTTGTATATATGGTTTGTGTTGCCTTTTTACAATAATCAGTTGTAGTGTATAGAACTGATAATAGAGTCAATGCTACATGTAAGAGAAGATCCTGCACTGCTGTCTCTACAGTTGTGCAGTAAACAATTTCTTATTACTACTTTGGTTCTTGATTTACTTGATGTCTTCAACTATTTGGGGAATATAGTGTTGAATGTAAGGGTAATTCTTTACAGCTTTCCTGTCAGTTTTCTGTTTCCTGCCATGGGGACAAATAGAGAACAAACACCCAAAGACATAAAATTTACTGTACACTATTCCAAGCATGCACAATGACCAAAACTGCTAAGGCAAGGTGAAAGGATTGGTCTGAACACCTCCCTGTGGGTACATTCCAAAATTCTCTTTTAAAATTGACAAAATGGCATAAGTATTTCTTTAAAAGTACTTTTTTGCCTATTTCCATCTTTATATATCATTGTTTCTTTAACAAAAATGTGAATGAATCAATTAAAATTAATTGTTATGCTGTGAGATACCAATTAAGGTGCTGAGTGCTTAGTCTTATATTTAATAGCAATTTGTAAAAATGGATGATCACATATGCATTCAGTGCAGTCCCAATGCCAAAAATAAGAAACTGGTTAATTGTTTTGAATTGTACTGGGAACCACATGTATGATGACTAGACATTAATTAATAATTAAGAGAGAATTTCGATGGTGTCAAGATGGTTCAGTTGGTGTAACGATGAACTACGGGCCAGACAGTTAGGGTTCAACTCCCAGCATGGGCAAGAGATTTTTTCACAGCATCCAAACTGCCTCTGGGACCCATCCAATGTGTACCAGGGGCTCTTTCACGAGGGGTAAAGTGGCTGGGTCATAAAGCTGACCACTCACCTGCATCTAGTGCCAAGGTGAAGAATGATGGAGCTGCACATTTATTCCCCCACATATCTTCATGGAGTGGTGCTAATTAATTAAGCACTGGGACAACTTTATTTTTACCTTACAGCATGTATTTGTTTGTGAATTCTTTGATGTTTTGGGTACAATATATTGTGATATGAGTACCAAAGCAACCACATTCCAAACAGCATGTACTCTGCATATGAATGACAAATTTGAAAGAATGTGAATGCAGTCATGGTCTATTTTAACGTGATATGTCAGTATTTTCCTGAAGGAATCAAGGAGACCATACAACTTCCTAAATTATTTGATTCTTTTAAGCAAGTAATTATTACTGTGACAGAATGCTGAGCCTGCTACACAACTTAGCTGAAGTCAGTATGAGAGATACATTTGTATGTGCTGAAAAGTATGAGCTGTGGCTATATCCATACCTCATCATTTGGGGTGCGGCAGGAGTCTTACCTTCTGGCGATACTCTGGGACAGTTCTTCAGTTGAAGCAGTTCCAAAGTTTTTGAGTTGGATGAGACAAGAACATCTAGAGACGTGTCATCCATAGGTATATTTTCAATCACCAGTGAACCAAGTGCATGTGAATGGTGAAATACAGTGGTTAATGCCGAGATGAATGACTGCTGATTCAAATCAAGAAACACAGGTAGAGCTGAGCTGATGAATGCCAGTGTCTTGAGAGAGCAGTTCACCAGCTGAAGAGAAAAGTCACTTTAAGAACTTTTAACTCTACTATGTAGTGTCTATCTGTGGAAATTCAAAATATCATTAGCTGGTCAAGGAATTCCTTCTTTTATGGAGCCTGAAGGTTCTGTGGGAACATCCCACATTATCACGCATTTCTGCAACACTCGTTCTTCACATCACTTTTCACCATCACGCGCGCTAACCAATCAGATTGCCTCAAACGTTCGCATTTATACGGCGCCTCCTGCTAGCCAGCATCTATGTCACTACGCGCGCTAGCCAATCAATTCTTCCTCCTCAATTTCAAGTTTCGCTCTGCCCCACCGAGCAGTGTATAAAAAGAGGCAGCTCCAACGCTGAGTATTCAGTTCATCATTTGACTTCAGTCTACGATCAAGCAACACCAGCCAGCAGGCTTCATCGCCAGCGCTCGGTCTTCTCGGAGGCATCGGCAGGCTGTGCCAGGCACGACTGCCTTGGCCCTCCGGCACTCTCACACCCAACTCACTGGGGCACCGCGCCTGGACTCGCCGGTGGTCGTGTTACTGTCCGACCCACTGGGCATCTGGCGTAGCCACTGCCTCATAACTCCTACGACCGCGCTCAACAACTAGCCTTTCACCAGCAGCCGCCGCGCCGCGATCAAGCAACCTCCAACTCACACTGCCGCATGGCAACCAAGCAACCTCCAGCCACGGCCGCACTGCAGCCAGGCCACTCACCGCAACTAGCCCCTCTCCTTACTGGCGCGCGCTGCGCTACCTCTCCGATCAAGCATCTCAGCAACCATGGTCCTTTTCAGGACCAACAAACTGTTCCGAAGAAGTGGGTTGTCATCGGAGTAATGACAAGACTACACATCAAGAGCCCCACAGTTCATTACTGTGTTCACAAAAGTTTGCAATTATAATCCATCCTAAGTTAGTTAAGTCTAGTCCAGATCCTTACACTCTTTTTTCTAAGATTTATTTTAATATTATCCTTCCATTTATTAGCTCTCAAAAGAGGACTCTTTCTTTCAGGTTTCTTGAAAATTTTACATTTGTCTCCTGTCCTCCATGTGTCCAGCCCATCACAAACCCTTATTATCTAATCATTATGTTGATATTAGATGAGGAGTAAAGTTGCAGATCTCTTCATTATGTAATTTTCTCCATCCTGCTAACTCCCTTCCTTACTTCATTAATTTCTGAGAAAAGAAATGTAGAAAAAATTTTGCATGTAGCAGGGAACTAAAACACTGATACATCTCTCCCCCCTTCTCTCTCTCTCTCTCCTCCCCCCCTAGTGTGCAAAATTTGGCCACAAAAAATGTCATCTTAAATTCATATTATACTAAAAACCAGAATCAGCAATCTCATCCCCATTACTGCATCTCATAGATGATTTTATAAACAGGTATATGGGAGAGTAAATGTGTGTAATTACTGTGGAAGAGAGTAAGAGAAGAAAACATATAAATAGCTTAATAAATTTAAAAATTAACTAACGAGTTACTTGACAACATTAGTATATGGCACTGAAACAAGAACCATAATATTAGCTGATATTCACAACACAACAATGGTTGTTACTACAGGATTCTGTAACAGTGGTTGCAGAATCATTAAGGCCACGATTAACTTCATGACCATCTCCTATCTTATTTGATGCTCTATAACCTCTGCTACTGAAACACCTAATCATCATTCATACATATGTTTCCATTTCTGATGATACATAATGTCCATATGTCCTAAAAATTCATCACCTCCCTCAGACATCAGGTTTAAAAACTTCTTACCCTGGATAAAATGTGACAGGCCATCTGTGCAGACTCCACTGTGCTATCAGTCCTGAACAGAACAGACTTCAGGTGTTGTACATGGTGTTTCAGAATGTAGTTTATCAATCTTACAGGAGTTGACCTATAAATATTAGAAGACAATGACAGTTTCTGTGTTCCTGCTACTGCATTACCACCAATACTATGGCTGCTGCTGCCACCACCACCACCACTACTACCACTACTACAGGGTCCGGCAAATCGACCTCCCGTATTTGGAGAGGGCGCTGTGTGAGTTGTGGTGGGGATATGGAGGCAGAGGGGGTATCAATCGATAGCGGTATAAGTGCCATTTGCAGTAGTTGCAATGGCGTGGCACGGTGAGCATCGTGCGTTTGTTGTGGAAGAGTACATTCGTAATGGTGAATCGGTGATTACTACTCAGCGAGCATTTCGCATTCGGTTCGAACTTGGCCGACATGATCCTGTTCCGGATAGAAAAACTATTCACGTTTGGGTATCAAACTTTAGAGCAACAGGTTCTGCACTGAAAAAGAAATCGCCTGGCGAACCTCGGACCATAACAACGCCGGAAAATGTGGCACGTGTGAGAGCGTCCATCCAGCAATCTCCAAAGCGTTCAGCACTTAAACATGCAGCTGCCCTGGGATTGTCTGATAGGAGTGTAAGAAGAATCCTGCACAGAAATCTACACATGCACCCATACAAAATGATGGTTACCCAAGAATTAAGTGAGAGAGATTTTGAAACTCGCAAAGCTGCGTGTGAGGACATTCTTCAGAACATTCCCTCTGGCGCTGTTTTGATTTCATCTGATGAGGCCCACTTCCACTTGTCAGGTACTGTAAATAAACAAAATTTCCGCTACTGGTCAGCAGAAAACCCTCAGGAACTTCACCAACGACCACTTCACAGCCCTCGTGTGACAGTTTGGTGCGCTGTTGCTGAATTTGGTGTGTGGGGTCCTTATTTTTTCGAGGAAAATGGGCTAACGGTAACGGTTACTTCGAATCGCTACTGTCACATGATCGAGACCTTCCTCCGACCTAAGTTAAACCGGTTTGTTGGGGACCATGAAGAGGGACAAGCCTGGTTCCAACAAGACGGAGCCACAGCTCACACTTCGCGGGGTTCTTTAGCAATTCTGAGAGAGTTCTTTTCTGGACGTCTTCTCTCTTTGCGAGGAGACATCGCCTGGCCCCCAAGGTCACCCAATTTATCACCTTGTGATTTTTTTCTTTGGGGACACTTAAAGGCGCAAGTGTACAAACATCGCCCCACAACCCTGCAAACACTTAAGGAGGCAATCACATAGGCAGTGGCTGCCATTCCACCGGAAATGACACGAAGAACTATGGACAACTTCCGGGAAAGGCTTCGTCAATGTGTGAACAATGGAGGACGCCATTTACCGGAAATAATTTTTAAAACCAAGTAATGTAAAATAGCATCGTATTTGTTGTTCACAAATAAAAGTATTTTTTCTGTATCTTTCTTTGTTTGTTTGTAACTGCCTTTTGAAATACGGGAGGTTGATTTGCCGGACCCTGTAGTATTCAATTAAAGCAGTCATTTGGGTATCTCAAGTTATGATGAGCCACACAGGTTGTCAGAATATTAATTCATTATTATACATTCACTGCACAGACTGTATAAGTGGCAATATATAGAGAAAGTTACTTCTATCTATTCACGTTTAGTCCACAAACCTATTTAAGATTCCAATTCCATCTGGTACTGGCAGTCTATATTAAAAGTTGAATAAACTTGATTTTAGCTTGCTGTTATCACTATTATCATCATAATTTTCCTGTACTGTGTTAGGCAATGTGACCTATTATGGTTTCATGCCATCTTATCAAGGGAAAGAAGACAAGTACGCCATGAGTTTTGCTCTAAGCACTGAAAGAAAGTATATCCTGAAGGTCCTTCACAGAACTTGTTTCATACTCACTTGGATGCCTGACTTAGACTGAATTCTGCTCTCTGCCAGAGCTGTGGGAATTGTGAGACATGATTCCAGTGCTGACAGACCTGAGCCACTCTGCCAAGATCTTGAAGTGGTAGTTGGCTGAAGACCAGCAGCAGTGCTTCTGAGGGCAAGCTGCTCCATCCCAATTCACAGTCTTCCAAGTCCTGTGTAAGAACATACATTTCAGATAGCTACAATGAAACAGAGTGGCAATTTATAGGTTTCTACAGAATTGAGTTCTATGTGTAAGCATGCAACTAACCTTTCAATACTAGCATTTTTGCATGCTAACACCTCTATTCTGAGCTTTCTTCGCTATTTTATGTTAAAGAGATGCATGTGATGGAATGAAACATATCATACAAAACAGTGATATGCTCTCAAGCTCCTTGAGATCATCTAAGCCATTACATGATTTCAAATTGACAACAATTACAAAAAATTTTCAGTATAAAATCCTGCAATATAACCTGAATAACTGTCATTTGAATCCTGGAAGGGGTAAGAATGTTTTCTTTTTCACCAAAACCAGACCAGCTACTGGGCCATGAGCCTCCTGCTCTATTATAATTATTCTGTTTTAGAACATTATCCTCATACTGGATAATGGATAACGTCCAAAAACACAATAATTGTATTAATATACCATTGTCACAAAATTTTAGAACATGCTTTAGTGTTTCTCAATTGGTGGACGAAGATGACTGCCAGTCCATACAGTCTAGTCAGCATTATACTATACATATATGTATTACCACAAGATGGCGACATGCAGTAGTGTAGTTGGTTGAGGCACTATGCTATTACCTGGAAGTTCGTGGGATTGAGTTCCGATGAGGTGGATTTTTTCAATTCTCCTAATCCTTCCAGTCGCACTATGGCCCTGGGGCTGACCCAGCCTCTAAGAGAAATGAGTACCAGGAATCTTCAGGGCGAGGGGGGGGGGAAAAAGGCGGCTGGTGCATAAGGCTGACAACCTTACCGGTATCTGTAAGCTGAATGTCTAGAGAGAATATGGGAGCCTCGACGTCTAGCAGCCCTATGGGCCTTCACACACACACACACACACACAAATGCACATGCACATGCACACACCCTTGGTGAGCAATATGAAGAGAATGTTAATTTCTATTTGAAGAATTAATGACATTATTATGGTGTTCTTTTGACACGTGTACTGAGGTGATTCCAACATGAAACAATTACACAGCCTGAAAGATATTTCCAGAATAATGTGACAAGGTACTGGAATAAGAAACAATATTATGAACACCTTCTTCCTGGCAACTGTGAATGTGAATTCACAGTTGTAATCCATTTTATACTATACGGAGCCTGAGTTGAATGCACAGTGAAAGAGCTAACTCAAGAGTGTGATCTGTTGACCTTTCCAAGTAGTTTTACCTTTCTGACCATTAAAATACAGTTCCAATGACAGCAGTGTAACCATTGAAAGGAGGACACAATAAATTAAAATATTAAAACATGACACATTATAAGATTGTTATGCATGCAGTTTCATTCCATTAGGAACAGATCACAAAAGAATGACAGAGAACCTTCTAATAGCAACATAATGCATTTACCTTATAAGCAACTTTCATTTGAAGATCACGTCCTTTATCACTTAATTTGCTGATTAAAGTTAATTTAGTTCTCTGACGCTTGGGTATGGAGTCACGTGGTTTTGTTTCTGATGCATCTGAAAGAGAACATACTCATGTTATTCTATATAAGGTACAAAGACTGAATATTTCTGTTAATGCACAAAGCCTTTTATCCAAATTTGGAGCTCTTACAAAGAAACAATTAGTCATCCAATCAATAAAGCATGTAGAATTTTGTGAGGTGCTTAATACATGCACATATCTTTCACATATCACTCACAAATTGTTCTGAATTAGTGATGTCATGAAAGAAAATGGGGATTTATGATTCTTCTAGTGCTCATAGCACATCTACACCAGGTCTGTGATCATATAACGCAATCTAGTGAATAACAGGAGAACTTTCAGTATGCTATTAGATATAACCACTCATATATAACCAGGCTTCATCTGTCATACTGAGGGTCAACTAAACAATTGTGAATATTTGTAAACAAAAATTACAAAAGTTAATTTTCAAAGTTGGAGGTGGTTCACTGCTGATATCCTATAGGCCTATGGCCAATATTTCATGATTTTCTTAGCTTTAAGTACACGAGCTAAAGAGACCCTAGTTTCTTGATAAAACTGATAAAGTGATTTTCCTGCAATCAATTTAACTCCTTTCTGATGTCTTATAGAATTTCTGGTGTAACCATATACTTTGACCGATTATCTTCCTATAAAAAATTGACCCAGGTTTGTGGCACTTTCTGAACAAATTCGAAACATACAGTCTGCTAGGCAAGGATGAAACTGGATACTGCTGTGGCATATTTGCTCAAAGCAAGAATTGTGGAGTCACAACACCTGGTAGTTACCAGGCAGCGGCCTGTAAACAACAAGAGAGGAATGGTGTTTTCTGTGCAGTGTGCGCCAATGGCAGTGCATGCAACAGTGGAATACATCATGCCATCACTAAGCAACATCTGCACTGCAACAGAGGAACGGTGTTTGGTGTTGAGTTCATTAAATAACAGCTGTGGTTCAGTTTTTGTGAGTTGTTGTTGTGATAAGCTCCTAGATGATGCCAGGGACAGTTTGGGAACCCAGAGGAAGGGGAACATTCGCCGCTGGAGGCCACCACCAAGACTGTAACAAACTGAGAACACTAGTCTTTATGCGATAGTTATCTGTGAAGTGTAGTCACGAGCTGTATGAGTGTCCAGTAAATCTGATTACCAAACCAAACCCCATCTATAATCACTACAATCATGACACTATTATACAAATTTACAAATCCTGTGATCATATGATTTCCTTCTTCTGCTAAAATTGAAAACAAGGCACATTTCTTTTGCAGTAGTGTATCACATTTTGGCACAAATATAAAGAAGGGCGACATATCACAGGCCATACGAACCAATCCATGATTCCTGAAAATGAACTCTGCCTTGCTGTTATGGCAGAACAGATGCAACATATTGAACTTAGCTTAGCAGAGAGTCCTAAGCGCCCTCCATTGTCTGGTTTGAAGAATTCTATGCTATACCAAAAACTGTTTGAGGTGCTGCTCTGTACAGTCATAACCACTGTTTCCGCAAATATGTATGAGCATTTGTTAATATATGTACCTATTTATGAACCGCAATTAGTTCTCTATAATCTGTTGTAACCAAGGGGAGAAGTACTGTGGATAATAGAAAACAACAGATAATCCAAAAACCTGTAAACATCCACTATCCATAGCATATTAAACAATAAAAATCACTTAATTCTTACGTACTGGAAGTGCTAATAATCACTACACAGCAAGACAAATATCTTTCTCATGGAAGAATGTGGCTCTTGCTTAGCGATAGAGGGCTAGGGTCAAAAACAATAAAATAATAAAATGGAAAGTTCCAACCAAGTTAGAAGATGTGCGGTCAGCTGCAAATTATTGCAAAGCATCACTGATACACAAGTTATTACTGAACCAGATATAATGAGGAACAAATTATTATAGGAAGCCTATAGTTAATAACTAAGGTGTTCTAGAAAGTTCCATGTTTAATCCGCATGTGTGGATAATCAAGAATTCACTGTACTACAGACTTTTCAACCACTATATACAAAATTGTGCACACCCTTCTCATTAATTAGTAACACAGGTACATTTGAATTCTGCAATGCATGGCTGTACAAATCTTTTTCTGAATTTTTTAATATTCATTTCTGTCACAAGAATGAAACATAAACCAGAAGCAAAAAATAAATACATGCATCTTAATGCTTTTTATTTCATCACTATATTTTTAATGCTCAGAAAATCATTCCTTCATAAATGTATACCCATCCCTACTTACCTGGAACTGAAAGACACATTGTCTTATTTTTATTACAAAAACATTTTATCCCTGAGTGCCTAACAGCTGTCCAAGAAGGATGAAGGAAAGAAGGTATGCTTCTTACCATTCATGACCCTCTTGTTCGTGCAAGAAATATTCATTGCACTGCTATCAGTGTAGTGTTTATCTGTTGACAATAATGAGCACATTATTGGTAGGAAAATCTTCCATTGCCATGATTGAAATACAAAGGTCTTCTAACAGGTATCACAGGAACAGCTTCAGGCCTTCCATTTCACTGCTAAGTTTCTTGCTGTTAACATAAATCAATTATGATTTCATTTTATATATGCTACAAACATCAGCAATCAGAAAACCACATTTAATTCCACAGTAATACCAAATCTGGTATCAGTGTGGTTTCACAAGTCCAAGCTAAAGAAAAAGAAATGGACAGTTAGAGAGTTCCAGCAAAAGCAAACACCAACAAAATAAAGTGTGTATGGAATGAAGTCCCAGTATCAAAAAATGTGTTAATTATAAGCACACAGCCAACAGATACACTGGATGGGAAATTCAATGGCGGGTTCATTTAGGATGCGTCAAATGCATGAAAAGAAAAAGATGGGATAGGAGGATTTAGACAGGAGAAAAGAAGAGAAGGAAACACATGGAAGGAAAGAGGAAAACTGATTCAGTATCAGACATTGAGTCACTGTACCTCAATTTTCATTGCACTTCTATTATTCTTGTGGGAAATGCACACTGTGAGGAATCTCATTCATTTTGTATTTCTTTATTATATTTAAGCATCCTGTTGCACTCCATACGATAAATGATACAAACTCCGTCTCAAGTGCAAAAAATATATTCATATTCATATTTATTTGTCTCCTACACTACACATACATGAGTTGAAAGTACAAACTGT